GGAAAGGGCCTGGTATGAAGCGGGTATTTCTGACAGGAAAATGAATGAGCACAAAGGAGAAACGTGCTCCTATACTTTCTCCTACACTAAGTCAGAGATTTCAGTCTGGTACAAAGAGCAAACACTCAGCTCTCATACCCCAAATCTACACAGATGTCAGGGGCTACTTGTGAGGTGTGCGTTCCCATTTTATGGCATCAGGCTTACAGGGTACACACAGGGCAGTGGGGGAACCTAAGATGGCTACAAAGCATGCCCGCCCACTCTTCCACACTCCAGCTCTGTCAACTGTCTTCTTTTTGGTCCCTTAAAAGAGAAAGGCTTCCATGGGCAGAAACACAAACACTAGTAACTTTGACAGAGCTTTGTTTTTATTTGAATACTGTTGAGTGTGGCTAGGAAAGAACCCACTTGTCTAGGAAGATGAAACAGGTTGCATTAACTAAAAATATGGCCAACAACAGTTGGAAAGCTTCCCATTGCCAAAGGAAGTCAAGCACCAGGGTTAGACATGTTGAGATTATTAGTGCCAGTCTGCCAGGCAGAGCTGAGCTGGAGGTCACCCAGACCTGATGGCTCTGGGCCACCACAGCCGCCTCATCCAACCCTCAGCCTACTCTCTGTGAATGTGCATGTTTCTGGTTGCCTGCTTTCCCTAATTCCATCTTCCTCCCAGGCCACTGGGAAAAATAAGGAAGTGACCCACAGGCTCCCTCCCTGGGTGCTCAGGAAGGTTCTGAGAATCTGAGCTCCTGCTCATAAACGCTCTCAGGAAGGCATCGGGTCTTCAGGAGCCAAGCCACTACCTCAGCCTTGACCGAGGCCTGTGTGAACTGGCCAGTGCCAAATTCCACTTAATTAACTGCTGCAATGAAACTGCAGATACTTGGGTACAACCTGTCACCTACAGTCAGACACCTGGCACAAGAAAATGACAGCTCCAAACGAAAGCAGATGACGAAGGTGCTGCCCAGGCCTTTGGTACACTTTCCTGATGGACACCCCGTGCAGGCTCCAGATCACAGTGACTGGAACTCAAAGCTGGCAAATCACATGACAGCATATTCTGTCTAGGACAGGTGTCCACTAACTCAGGGGGTACCCTACCCTTCACCCTAGAACCCCACAATGTGGCCCACCTGGGTGTCTGCCTGGCACACACACACACTTTAGGGTCCCAAGATGACACAGAATAATGCCAAAGAGGCTGCCCAGGTGCCTAAGTGCCTCTCTGGGGTCCCTGATGGATCAGGGTGCAGGAATATAAGTACAAAGAGGAGTCAGGACAGATCCCAGGCCGGGGACATCCAGTGTGGATAAGGACATGCTATCAGCTACTTTATCAACTGGCCAGCTAGGAGCTGACCCGAACCAGGAGATGCCCCAAACAGCTCCAAGTTCAGCAGGTGCTCACAAGAGAAGGCAGTATGATGTGAGTGGTGGAACCCCCACAGCCTGGCAGGAAGTGTGTCACCACAGCATGTGACAAGCTTGTCTGAAAGGACCCAAACTGAGCTCCATAGACAGCTCTTCCCTGGAAAACGCCTTATTGCCAAATCCCCTTAATGCAAAGGAGCTGCAGAGGGCAGAACAATGGACCACAACCAGTGCTGTGATGTCCCGCCTCGCCCTGGTCTCCTGGGACTCTCAGCTGCTTCCTGACAGGAGCAAGCTGACAGCCTCTGTCCCCACCCCCATGCCAGCCGAGGCCCAGCCTTTGCAACTGCAGCTCCTTTGCTTTTCCTGCTTTTGTCAAGATGTCACTTTCTCAGCAGAGACTTCTCTGACTACCTTATTTAAATACAGCATCCCTGGCCATAGCAGTTAAATCGCAGCACCCTCTTCCTGGCTTTCACTTCCATCCAGCTCCAATGCTGCCATCTTCTAGCTGGTCTGCCACACTGCAGCAGGGATCCTTATGCCTTATTCATGAATGCATTCCCAGCCTAGAATCTTGCCCAAATCAGACACTGAAATATTTGTTGAGTGAATTCAGGAGCACTTGCTGTATCGCAGGCTAGGTCCTAGAAACTGGGTCTACAGAAACAGGAAAGCTCTGTACCTTTAAATGCCATCAGATGGAGGAGACTGGCCTACCACCCAGGAGAGAGTGCAATACCCAGCAGGGCATCAGGCAGGCCTGCCAAATCAACATGCTTATCTTGTGCCAGGACCACACAGCAACCCAGCTGTGCAATCGGAGTGGCCTGCCTCATTTCGAGGCTAGAGATTCAATGCCACAAACACCCAGTTATGAAGTCAAGAGCCAGTAAAAGTGATCCAGAGGGGCACAGAGCCTAGCCTTGGGGTCCTGCAGACCTGGCACAGCCAGACCATGGTGCCCACTGCTAGCACCATGCAGATGAGATAAGGCTGCTTTCTTTTCAAAACACAGTCAGGCCTGTGCCAGAGGGTTAGACATGTTGAGATTATTAGTGCCAGTCTGCCAGGGGTGGGTACTCCATTCAGGATGTTTCCCTATCCCAAGATGCCTGTCTTCTGGAACTGCCCACTTGCCTTTTCTGACACAAGATCTTGCTATGTAGTTCAGACTGGCCCTGAACTCACAACGTAGCCCAGGCTGGCCCCACATTTGCAGTGATCCTCCTGCCTCAGCCTCCTGAATGCTGAGATTTCAGATGTGCACCACAACGCCCCACCTGCCTCCTCTTTCTTTGGGAGGTTCTCCTTTGACTTTCTCCTTATCCTCACTTAAAACAGTCACTAGATTCAAACTATGAAGAAGGATTGGCTGTGAAAAAAAAAAAAAAAAAAAATCCTTGGAATAACAGGCTACTCAGAAAGAACCCCAGCCTGGGAAAGGAGGCATCTAGTCACCTCAGGGGGCAGGCTGTGAAGGCCCTAGCAGGACATCCATACAAAGGTCCTAACTGGCTGTAGCAGTACATGCCTACCTGTAATCCCAACTACTCAAGAGACTAAGGCAGCCAGGTACATCATATGGCTGTAATCCCAGCACTTGGGAGGATCATTTTGAGTTCAAAGCCAGTCTGAATCATAGAGCAAGAGCCTGTCTCAAAAAAACTCAAAAAAAAAAAAAGAGGCTGAGGCAGAACAGCAAGTCTGAGCCCAGCCTCAGCAACTTAATGAAACACTGTCTCAGACTAAAAAAATATATAAAGCAATGTAGTCCATGTTCCCTGGGTTCAATTCCAAGTACTAAAAAAAGGATAAATGTTAAGGTTCTACCAGGAGGGGATAGGGCCAGGAGACCATGGAGGGGCTTCAGAGGGCCACAACACTGAGGGGGGAACCTCCCCAGTGCAGTCAACTCCCTGGAACCTCAAAGGAGGTGGCTTAGAACTCCCTACCTCCTAACTCCTACAGTCTTTCTTCCCACTTATCTAAAGTCCTTTCCAAGGACAGACTCCAGGCAGTCTGTCCTGTTTGCAAGATCTCCCTTGGGGCAAAGATCACGCTTCTCTTCCAGCTTGCTGGTCATCTATCCCTCCAGCCCAGCCTTATCTCTCCTGCTAGCATTAGTAACTTACCCCACCCCTTCCCCCTAGACCCTAGGACCCAAAACATTCCAAAGCTGTTCTGTTAGGTATCTGTCCAACCTGTGCCACGTATGTGCCCATCCCATGGTCTTCACTCATGGAGGCCACACACTATGTGGTGAAGCCACAGGGAACTCAAAATGGCCTATATCAACCTGCCCAACTTCAGGGGAATTGGGCAGGGCCAGACTACAGCAGTTATCCAAGGAACCTTGTGGCCTGCAGACACCTTAAGGGTAGGGAAGTGTCCCACATATAAAATTCCTTGGATATGAATGTTAACTAAGAGGACAAGATGTGGGCTTGGGACCTGGTGCCAGCACCTAAAAAAACTAGAGATGGGGGACCAGGGAGATGGCTCAGTAGAATAAGAGCTTGCCTGGAAAGCGCAACCCCGGTTCTGTGAAAAAAATAAAAAATTGGGGCTGGGTTGTGGGATACCCCACTGCATGTAGAGACCTGTCCAATGCATTGCTAGCCCCTTCCCCCAAGATTATTTTTCCTATCCTGGCCATCTTCCATCTGAGGTGCCCAGGGCTGCCCCTTGGGATTTGCCTACGCCACTGCTTCCACCAGCCACAGCTTGTTCCCCAAGAGCACACCTGCCTCTGCTCTGGGATGGAATCAAACCAGGGCTCCACTACTCGAAAAAGGCAACCTGTAGGCTGCCTAACCTAGTCCCCTCACAATCAAAGGAGGAGGAGGCCCGTAAATGTGTTGGTCAACGTTGGTCAACGTTGGTCGGGGCGCAGCGATTCTGAGAGACTTCTAGCCCTATTCCAGGAGAGCATGACCGCATAGAAGCAGAAACGTAGTGCGTAGTGCGGGTGTCACTGGCAGGTTTGGCCGCATGGTAAACAGTTGGGTCCGGGGTTGTGGGAGACGAGGTTCCCCAAGTGGACTCCACAGTTCAAGCCCTCGGAGACACTTATCCCAGCAGAGATGGGGCTGAGTAAATAACTATCTCCGAGGCGGACCACAGGCTCAGGGCAGGAGGATGAAGGGCTGGGAGTCCGCGCGCACAGCCAGTCGTAGCAGCACCTCCCTGTCCCACGATCCGGACTGGTCTACTTCTCATCCTGCAGAGCTCTCAGAGAAGGAGGAAAACCGAGAGACCGGCTCGGAGCAGCCCTTGAAGGGTATGGAAAAACTTCGCAGCGCACAGCCCCTCGAGGTCCAGCTGGGGCGCACTGGGGACGTCGCCAGTCGCGGGGGCTAGGGGTGGAGGTTCAAGAGGCGCTGGGATGGAGTGGTCCGGACGACGAGCCCCCCTTCCCAGCCTGCGGGATCCCCAAGACGCTCTTGAGTGGTCACCCCTCCTGGTGGCCGGGGCCAGTGAGACCGTGCTGCTTTTCCGCGGGCCGAACCTGAACCGGCCGGCTCAGGTGACCCGACCTCCCGCCGCACTGCAGGGGCGGGGGTTGCGCGGCCCGCGCATAACTAACTTCCCGGACCCCGGGCCCCCGTAACCGCGCTTACCTGGGTTCCGGACGCCGGCGGGGTGCGCATCCCGGTCCGCGGCAGAGGGTGGAGAGGCCGGGTGCGGGGCAGCCGGGCGGCGGCAGCGACACGGTGACCCGCCGCAGAGCTCACAGGACCAACAGCCGGCCCGCGGCCCGCGCCCCGCGCCTGCTCGCTCCGGTGGGCGGGCGAGGGGGCGCCGGCCCTGCCCCCACTCCCACCCTCCCGGTTGCCGGGAGACCCGCGTGGGCCGAAGGGGTTCTTTGTATCAAAGCAGCGCTGACATCACGAGGTGCCCCGGCTCGGGGACTCTGAGGGGCGGGGCCTCGCGCTGGGGGCGGGACCGCGGAGGAGGGGAAGAGCGGTCCCGGAACCCGAGCCGGGGGCGGGGCCCAGGTAGCCTCGCCCACCCAAGGTAGGGGCAGGTGCCGGGCATCGCCAATGGCCACGGGGCTGGGGCGAGTGGGTGGAGTTCGCCTGGGCCAGCCGGAGCCCGCGCGAAGTAAGAGCAGCCAGGGATTCGCTGAGGCCCAGCGTGGACGCTCTAGCTCCAGCCAGTTACGAGCTCTCAGGCCCGGCTGTCACCTCTGTGTAAGATTGGGGCCAGCACCCCACCCCCGGCTCTCGGACCCCAACTACGACTTGCCCGAGTCCGATGGCGCCTATTGATTTTTATCCTGAACCCTGCCCACAACTTTTCTAGCTTTTCGGTGTTAATCGACCACGATCTGTACAATCAAGTAAGTAGTGCAAAGAAAAGAGCCGCAATGAGAACCAAACAACAACAACAAAAGAGAACCAAACATCCAAACACAGAGAGGAGGGCCCTTTCCCGTGGAAAGTAGTAAATCTAATTTACATCAGAACTCAGCCCCTCATAGTTCTATATCATGCCCCGGATTAAAACACGTAAAGCAAACGGTGCTAACAATACAGAGCAAACACATATTGCAAATACAGTTTCCTTTTGAGTCGATGTTGCGTTACATAACTTTCGGGAGCAAGAAGATTATCCTCCGGGCTGACTGGCTCCAAGCCACCTCTGCCTTCCCTGCGTTGTCCCTCAACAGCACGGCAGCAGAATCAGCTGGGCACACCTGTGTGCTTTGGTCCAGCACCCCTAGACACACACAGCTCCTCTACCCATTTCCTGCTCTTAGCTTCCTTGTTCCCAGTGTTTCTCTGGCAAGTATGTTCACAGATCCCCCATTTACCAGGGCAAAGCAGCCCACTAGCCCGCTAGAGCCCAGACCTGCTTGGCACAGCCTAGGCAAGAGAGGCGTCCAGCCAAGAATTGCCTGGAGAGGGAGACTGCAGCAGTGGACACGAGGTGGAAAGTCCTCCTCTGAACTCAGCCTGCAGTTTCTGAGCTGACCTTTGGATCTGTGTGCAGAGCCTCAGCCTGTTCTCGGCCTTGCTAGTGTCCACTCCCACAATCCCTCCCACGGTGGAACATGGTGGTGGAGCACAGTGGTGCGTCTGGGAGAACCCTGGTGGGGCAGTGAGGCATCCTACTCAAGACGAACTACATCAACTCTGGGACCCAGTGTGTTCATCTGTAAGGCAGGGGAAGCCCCATTCTAGGACTGCTGTGCACTCTCCCCTGAACAGCACACAGTTTTAGGTCCTTGTCAAAGGTGTGGTACCCAGATGAGTCCTGAAGTCCAGGGCTGGCCCTGGGTACCTTCTCAGCTCCACCCAGACCTGAGCTCTCCGCAGTCTCACGCAGAGTTCAGGGTGTGGCTGAGGCTGGCAGTTAGCTTGGTTTCCCTTCCTCTCTCAAAACTTGTCCCACATTGCCCCTGAGGATGACTGGGTTCCAGAAAGCAGGTCACATGTGGGGATTGCCCAGAACTGACCAAAGAAGCAAATCCTCCAGGGATCACTGTTTGGGGGAGGGGGCTGACTCTCAGCAGAGATGAGTATGCAAAGCCAGACCTGTCCAGCAGCTCCCAGCCCCAGCCAGACCTCAAGAAGGTTTGCAAGAGCACAGTGGAGGGTGTGGTTTTAGGGGATCCCTCTTTATTTAACCCATAGGTAGCAGGGCTGGCATTTGTCCTGAAAAGCAGGGGAGAGAGGAAAGCCAGAGACATTGAATTTCTGGATGGGTTTGAGGGCTGCCCACTTTTACTGACCACAGAGAAGTCTTTTTTTGTTTTGTTCTGAGACAGGGTCTTAGTATATAGTCCAGCTTGGACTTCAACTATCTAGCTCAGGCTGGCCTTGAATTTGAAATAATTCTCCTCCCTCAGCCTCCCAGTACTGGAACTGTAGGCAAGTGCCACCCTGCCCAGCAAAGAAGTCATTTCGTGTTTTGAGGTCTCAGTGTCAACTTCTACAAAGTGGAAATAAGACATTTTTTTTCTTTCAGTTGTGAAATTTAAGTGAAATAAGTAAGTGTCTAGTACAATGTCTGTCTGGTGCAGGCACTTGATAAATAACAGCAAAAATCACGAGCCCCAGTAGGACTCTGTGATTCTGGGCATGAGCTCTGATACCAAGACCAGGTCTTGGTCTCACTACTTAGTAGCTGAATGACCCCAAATTTAATTCCCAATGCCTCAGTTTCCTCATCTGTAAACTTTAGAAAATAGTATGTTTAGGATTACCGTGAAGATCAAAATAATTAGAACCTATACAACACTTAGAACAGAGCCTAGCACCCAGCAGGTACTCAACAGATGTAACCATTATAAATTTCCAGTAACCCCAGCACTCAGGAGGCTGAGGTAGGAGGGTCACTTAAATTCAAGGCCAGCCTGGGCTAAAGAGAGTCCAAGACTAGCCTGAACTTCAGAGTGAAATCCTGTCCCACACACAAAATTGTCTTTATGGTACAGAGCTCAGTGGGACAGAGATGAGGGTTAGAGCTTGAAGCAGCTTGTGGGAGAGTTTAGGACTCCAACTTGAAGGGGGCACCTGTGACATCCCAGCAAGGTCAGCGCAGTTGTGAGCATTTCAGAGCTGGGCTTGGGGTTATGTCAGGGGTGCAGGAGTCAACAGGATAGGGGAGCTGAGGACTCTAGTTAGGTCTCAGTGACCCTCGTTCAAACATGAGCTCAGGATGAGTGAACAGAAAATACAGCTCTGCTTCCTGAGCCCAGCACCCCCTCCACTGAGGCTGAAGGGAACTGGGGTGGGGGGGGCCTTGAATCAGCCTGCCTGGTCCCTTGTCACAGGTATGTGTTAGATATCATGGAGTCAAACTCATGCTAGGAGAGCATCTCATGTACTCATCTCCAGGTTGCAGATGGGAAGACTGAACATCTGAGAGGGCTGGGAATTTACCCAAAGCCACGCAGAGAGGTGTCTTCTGAGAGGGACCGAAACAGCTTCCTGTTTGTTAGTGCAGGGCCTTCTCCTTTCTGCTGTGGTCTGGAAGCCTGACTGATGGGAGTGTGAGGGGCAGGGGACTGAGGGAGGCCAGAAGTGGATTTTTTTACCTTGCTTGCCCTGTGCTGTGAATCTCCTCAGGGGTCTGACTTGCTTTATCAGGAGTAAAAACAACTTCTTTAAAAATGGAGACCTAGCCAGGAATGGTGGCGCACACCTGTAATCCCAGCACTCAGGAGGCTGAGGCAGGAGAAGACCAGTCTGAACTACAACATGAGCTCAAGGCCAGTCTGAACTGTATAGTGAGACCCCTCCATCTCAAAAAGGTAAACAAACAAAATGGAAACCTAGCCTGGTGCGATGGTATATGCCTGTAATCCCCACATTCTAGGAGGCTGAGGCAGGAAAGACCAAGAAGCAGGCTGAAACTTGGGATGGCACAGCTCCTGCCCCCAAGTTCCTAGTAAGAAAAGTCTGCATACCAGAGCCCTTCTTCTTCAGCAGGGAGGTGTCCAGGGGCCCTGCACTTGGCTGGAATCTTCCTGGGAAGAGGAGAGCACAGGTGAATCCTACTTCCTCTACCAGCCCTGAAGATGTGGAGCTGCCTCTGGACCTGCCCGGCTCCATGTTGAGCTGGGCACCTGACAGCCAGCACTGGGTTTCCTTCAACTTTTCAGTCCTGTGCCAGCCCAGAGGCATATCTTGCCAGGTCAATGTCCTGTGGTCCTCTGCTCTGGGACCAGATTCCCCTGTATGTGTGGCTGGACACTGCCCTTGGGGCTGGATCAGGCCTTTGTCTTTGTTTTGAGGCAGGGTCTCACCATGCAGTTCAGACTGTCCTTGAACTCACTATGCAGCCAAGGCTGGCCTCAAACTCCCAGCAATTCTCCTACCTCAGCTTCCAGACTGCTGGGCTTATAGGCATGTGCCACCATGCCCAGCCTCACCAGTTTTTATTGAGTCTGGAACCCAGGCTGAGTTTTCAGAGATGCCCAGCTCTATTTCTGTCAACTGGTGCACACAAAATAATGGGCTTTCTTACTCACTGAAACCCAACTGGAGGAGCTAAATGGTGAGAAAACCCATTTCCTCTTCAACAAACATCTCCTCTGACTCACGCAATCATCCAAAAAGAGGAGGAGGCAGGGAGGGGAAGTAGACAAACTCTCCTTTTGACCCGATCTCGGTGAGGGTAAACTGAAGGGAGACTTCCTGTTCCTCTGCTCTTGGTACCATCAGGTCAACAAATACCCCCTACAGCATAAATCACTCTCTCCCTGCGGGCACCCCAGCATCCTGCCTTAGACTTGGGCAGTGTGGATGTCCCATGCCTGGTGCCATGACCCGTGCCAATTCATTGCCTATTCAGCTAAGAACTGTGTTTTGGAGAAAAAACACTGTCTCACTCTATAGTCCAGGCAGGCCATGAATTCAGCGGGTAGCCCAGTCGAGCCATGAACCAGCGTTCCTCCTGCCTCAGCCTCCTAAGTACTGAGGTTATAGGTATTTACCAGCTAAAAACTTTTAAGAATGGACACTAGCACAGGGCCTGGGGTTTGATCACTGGGACCACATGTTGCACCAGCCCTGCGCCTAGGCATACTGAGCCAGCCACGAGACCAGGCGCGGTGATGCATGCCTATAATCCCAGTGCTAGGGAGGCTGAAAACAGGAGGCTCACTATAAGTCTGAGACACATGGTGAGACCCTGCATCAAATACATTAAAAAAAAAAAGTATGGACACTAAAGCAGGGGCTCCTAAATTGTGTCACACATTAGAATCACCTTGGAAACTTAAAGAACATCGGTGTAGCACTCCAATGCCATGCAGGGTTTTTGGTGGTGGTTGAAGATCCCTGGGTGACTGCAATGCAGAGAGGTTTGGGAACAGCTCTGCTGAAGACTGGCTGACGACAGTGGGTGCTGGCACCACCCCAGGTGAAGCATTTGTTTGTT